GTTGAATTTTCCGTTCACTTTCATTTTACATCCTGTCTCGCTCGTCAAGATCTCGACCGTATTTGTGTCGAGAGTGTAAAGAACCTCCTYCATTTCCGAACGTTCCAATTATTGTAACTGATAATATGCCTAACCCGAACGCCGTTACACATGAGGACTTACAAAATTTAACCGACAAYTTATCTGACATGTTTAGGACACAAATAGACACTTTGACTTCGGCTTTTCAAACTACAACTGAAACGAGTCAGCAACAATTTGGCCAATTACAAGAAAGTCTCGCCAATTTTGATGGTCATGTTGAACCGAGTGTTTCTGTKTCTGGGCTAACTAACMGAGCCCCAGTATTTTCGGGCGGTCTRAAAGACGACCCGCTCTTGTTTGTCGAGCAATTCGGTCTATATGCYGAACTTTGTGGCTGGTCGGACAAACAATGTTTGTTAGCATTTCCGTTGTCCTTAAGCGGACAGGCTCGATTATGGTTTTCTGCGTTACCAAGATCATCTTATGATAGCATGGAAGAGCTTCTTCTTYTATTTAGGACCCGTTTTTTATCGGCATCTGATAATTTTCTTCTCCGTCAGAATTTAACTAAGCGTAAACAATTGCCAAATGAATCTGTTGACGAGTTTGCTACTGATATTAGGAGACGYTGTCAACGACTAGCAATTACGGACGATGAGGATCTTTTACATTTTTTTGTTACGGGCTTAAGGCCCGAATTACAATCGCATGTTATTTTAAATAAACCTTCTTCATTAGATGAAGCCGAAGAATTGGCTAAACTTAAAAGTTCCGTTTCAACTCCGGCTCCRTCATTTTCTCTTGCTGATGTACAAAGCCTTCAAAAGGAGTTTCTTTCACAATTAGCTTCGGCTCAACAAAAACAACCAACTTCACAACAGTCTAAGTCTGTGGCAGTATTTGATCACAAATCTAATCAATACAATCCTCCGCATAAATTTGATACTCGCGAAATACGCCAGGTTATCAGGGAAGAACTCGGTAATTTGAATTCTCGACCTCAGTCTAATAATCGTCAGCAGCAAAATCAATCCTCTCGCAATTTTAATCCAAATTWTCGGCCACGTTATAATTCCCGTGGGTCTTTTGGCAATAATGATTATCGTACTGTTTCGGGTAATCCCATTTGCCGGCTCTGTAGACAAATAGGTCACGTGGCTCGTAATTGTCCGAATACGCCACGTAATCCTCGCCCTCCGGGACCTCCTCCAACTTTTCAATCTCCAAGTCCTCAGTATTATGTAACTCCTGCACCCCAGCAAAATTATTCCACTCCAGGTTCCCCTCAAGCTTTTGCTAACCCCCCTCCTCCACCCCAACAGTA